CTTGGTGCTCTTTGGTCGGCCCTTCTGAGAAATAACAGTTGCTGGAGGAAGGGCTGACTCCACAGATGACTTACCTACAAGCTCATTGTATAATTCGTCAATTCTCTTGATAACGTCTTCCGATTCTTGTTGACTACTGGCGGTTTTCAACAGCAAAGAAAATCTTTCAAATCTCAACATCAAACGACCTTGAGGGCTGTTTGGGTCGTCACTACAAACTGGTGGTGGCTCCGGTTTATCTTGTTGAACCTCGGCAATGGTGGCAACTAGATGTTTGGAGCTCATTATTCATAAACTTAAATAAAAATAAAAATCTTACCACTTCCTTTGATGTAATATATTCTCCATCGTTTGGAAATTGCTTTCAGAGGGATGATATTATTGTTTTCCAAAAGCAGCTTAGCTAAGGAATGTCTACATGGAAGATTGTAGTTTCTTCTTAAAGAGCAAAGGCAAGGTTTTTCTCCAGGAAGGAAATGAGTCTTGTGGTTTTTGTCTTCGCTATCCAATCTCATTTCCACAAGCTCCGACTTTATGTTCTCAAGGGCAAAGCTAGTAACATTCAATTTTATAAGGCTGATTTTGGCCATGATGTCAGAATCAAGTAGCATTGTTTGCTGTGACAATGCTTCTCTCGTAGACTGTAAATCTCGGTACTCCTCCTACATATGATAGTTAGTTTATGATAATCAAATGATTTTGCGAATACTGAGAATAAAATGTAATTAAATTTTAAAAAAAAAGTTAAATTTTACTCGTTTCTGGGTCCATGCGCTGATCTTGTCAGTTACTACAGATATACCTCCGGAAGAAGTATGCGCGTGACGCTTAATATTAGCGTGGGTTGCTTCAACTCTGTTGGAAGTTCGATTACCCATGTGCATGAGTGCATTCACATGGTAGCCTGCCCAAAATCTAGCTTTTTTCATCATGCTAAAGAAAATAGTTTAGTTGATTTTTGACAGAACATTAAATATTTCCATAAGCATAAATGAAATTAAAATGACTACATACAATTCCAAGTACTTTCGCATAATAATAGCACCATCTTTAGTGCAAAGGTCGGGCCGAGACACAAAAGCATCATACTCTGCTTTTGCAGCTTTGAATTGTTCCAAAGTGGAGCAAACAAAAGCCATCTTCTGAACAATCTTTAAAAAACTGCGAACTTCAAGTTGCATTTCAGGATCTATTTGATTGTAGTTTGAGTTAGTCTAAAGAATACATTGAATCTGGCTGGGTTGATTCCTCGAAACTCAAAGAGCTGGATCAACTGATTGACAATCAGATTCAGAAAGAAACGCGTGAATGTATGCTTCGCTCTGCTACTCGCTGGCATGAACTGGGTGAACGTAACAACAAGTATTTCTACCGAGTTATAAAGGAGCGTCAGTCTAAACAGACTATACAATCCTTAAAGTGCTCCGCTACTGGTTCTGTCTTGGTGAATTCAGATGATATCATTCGGGAAGCAAGAGGTTTTTACCAGGAGCTATACACACCCGATTTAATTGATGATGCAGCTGTTGACTCTCTGTTGGCAAGTATTCCTGATGATGTGGTGTTGTCTCTAGAAGATTCAGACTCGCTGACAGATCCTATTCTAATGGATACTCTGCAAGATTTGGTTGGTCATACTCCCTTTGGTAGAAGCCCTGGTTTGGATGGTCTTCCTTTTGAGGTGTACAAATACCTATTCAAGTCTTCGGCTGATTTTCGTACGATGCTGCTAGGTATTTTAAATGATGCTCTTATCGGTGTGTTTCCCTCTTCTTGGCAACAAACTAGGATGGTCTTACTTTTCAAGAAAGGTGATCCAATGTTACTCAAAAATTGTCGCCCGCTCTCTCTCATTAATAGCGATGCAAAGTTGTTCACAAAACTTCTGGCTAATAGGCTTAATACTGTTCTTCCTCAGCTGATCAATCCTTACCAAATTGGTTTTATGCCTCATCGATTGATCTCGGACAATGGTTGGTTAAATCAAATGTTTATGGCTAATGCTCGTGATGTGGCTCCTGATGTTCCTCAGGTGGCAGTTCTGCTGGATCAAGAAAAGGCGTATGATAGGGTCCATCCGGATTATCTCCGCAAGGTGCTTCTTCGATTTGGTTTTCCCTTGACGCTGGTGGATTGTCTAAGTACTCTGTTCTTCGGTACTGAGATATCCATCTCTATCAATGGTTGGTTAGGAATGCCCATACCTCAGTCTCCAGGTCTACGGCAAGGTGATCCTCTCTCTCCTCTGCTCTTTAATTTGGCCTTTGAACCTCTTCTTCGGTCCATTCTAGCGTGCTCTGGTCTCTCTGGTGTCTCTCTTGGTGGTGGTGCGGTGTCTTCGGCGGTGTGTCCTCTGGTTCTACCGGTGTGGATTGATACTCCTAGCTCATCTGATCGCGATTTTATCAGTCAGTCGGTGGTGAACCCTCCTCGTCCTGTCAAATTACTAAGTTATGCTGATGATTTGGAGGTGTTTTTAACTGGTCCAGGTGAATGGCCGGTTTTGAAATCTTTATTGGATTGCTACGGTCTAGCTTCTAATGCCAAAGTTAATCTTAGCAAAACGGTGTTGGTGTCTCTCTCCGGTGTTGGTCATGCTGAATGGGTCGACATTGCTCAATCTGAAGGTCTCGAATGGCATGATTCTAGTTCTGTTGGTGCGGTGCGATATCTTGGTTACCCTCTGTACCATACCTCCACGCAGCTCGATTCGTTTTTGGATGAAGCTCGTCTTAAAATACTGCGGCACTCCAATATCTTACGTCAGCGCAATCTTTCTCTGCGTGGATCAGGTCTTGTTGCCAATTCTCTGCTTTTAAGTCGGCTCTGGCACATTTTGCGTGTGGTGTCTGTTCCAACTAAGTGGCTCGATTCTGTCCAAGCTCTGGTTCGTGGCTATTTACTTCCTTTTTGGCCGCGGCCATCCATGTCTACTATGTCTGTCCCGCGAAAATTCGGTGGTGTTAGCTTGGTCGATGTGCATCTACAACAACTAGCTTTGCAACACATCTACATTCAACGGTTGATCTCCGGCCCGAAAAAAACTGATTTTGTTTCTCCTTGGTTGGTTCGTGGTATCCAGTTATATACCGGTCACGCCTCAATTTTACCCTGGTTCTTATATCCGACTAAATTTCAAAATTCACTAAAACGGATAGTCCCTCTGGCTCAACTAGGCAAAATTCTACAGAAGCTTCCTCCACTCTCCTTGTCCAACACATGGTCTGCTCGATGGTTTCTAGATCTGCCTCTGCAATGTGTTGTAACTGTTGGTGATGCAGTTAATACTTGGTCTCCGACACTGGTACCCTCTTCTGTGCCCCTTCGGTATTTGGTCTCCGATATTTTATCTTGGAATCAGTCTACGGATAACTTGCAAAATACACGTGTCGTCAATGCTAGCAAAGTGAAAGAGGTTCGACGAGCTTTGTATCCATCCGATGGCTGGTTTGCTGCAACTGGTTTTCTTCCAACAGCTTTGCATAATCAATCAAACCGCGATGTTCTGCTCCCAGCATGGCTGCCAGCGCTTTATCATTGGACTATCCCCCAAGGCCATGGTAACATGGTTACTGTTTCTGGTATACGTCCAGGTGATCTTCGTTGGTATTGGCATCCAGATCGTACGAATTTTGAGATTCGCGCCGTCATACCTAAAGTGGTTCCAACCCGGTTTCTACTTCGGCCTTCCTTATGGCGGCTCTTTTGGTCCTTGGATATGACGAGTAAGGCTTTCACTCCCTGGTGGCGGCTACTTCAGGATTGTATAGGCTACAGGGCTAAACTACACCGGTGGTCTCCTACTAAGTATCCGTGTGCCAGCTACCCTATATGTTTAGTCTCTTCTTCCGAAGACTTTTCCATTTTGTGGTAGGATGTTTCGATAAGTGGCAGTACTGGTGTAACGTAATCTCTCTTCTTAACATTGGTGACACTTTCGAGACTGAACTTGATATTTGGTCCGGCTTCGTATCTCTCTCCGGTCAAAACCAAAAGCCTCTATCGTCGGATATGCTTGTTATTCTTGGCTCTGGATTAGCAACACTTTGGAAATACCATTGGCGCTGTGTGATTGATGGTGATCTGTGGAACTCTCAAGCTGCTCTTAACATGTTTCAACAAGATCACTCGGTACTTATTGCTGATACTTTGGAAACTCAATCCCCTTTAGTTCGTAGTGATAGTCTCGTGACGCCTTCGGGCTAATTTTATAATTTCTTTCTATATCTAATAAACTTACAGTTAATACAAAAAAAAAAAAAAAAACATTGAATCTGGCTGGCATAATAGCTTACTGTTTGCTTTTACTTTCGATGTTAAATTTTTTTTAAACCGAAGAAGAAAATTACGTTGAATATGTATCCAACAAAGGATCTGCTTACTGTTAGGAAAAACAGACTTTATGGCTTTTAACAAAGCCTCTTCGTTATAGGTAACGAAACACTTGGGTAACAAATTTTCATTTGTGCCAATAGGCCACACAATATCTCTAAAACATTGTAGAGCCCATTGGTATCTCTCCGCTGTTTCTTTGTCCATCCAACAGCCGGCAATAGGAACGGTTGTTAGCTGTTTTGGCTTTTCTTTCGAACGCAAAGCACCAGCAACAACGAAATTTAATAAGACCATCTTATGTGAATTTGTCTTATAAGTAGCATCAATAATTATGCACTCTGGCAGTCTACGAGCTTCTTCGATGCCGTGTTCATGGATGAAAAAAATCGATTGTATTCTATTGTCTTCATTTGTCAATTATCTAACATGATGATTTGTTGTTTCCAAGCGTCTTATAAAATCCCACATAAAGATGCTATCATCTCTGCAGAATCGTTGTTGAATGTTCGTGAGATCTGTAACAGTAACATTACAAACGTCTCTTGTTCTCAACATCTATAGACAAAATAGCAATTTAACATTTTATATTTAACTGCAAGTATCGTCTTATTTTGTAAGTTGTTCTACGGTTTACGTATAATATTTCTTTATTTAAACTAAAAGAGATCACAAACAATACTAACTCCTTACAAAACCCACTATTTATTTTTAAATCCCTTACCTCCAAGACTGCACTGGGAGTGCTTCCACTTTGCATCATCTTGATCGCAAATTCCTGGTCTTCAGCTTCCAATTTTCTGTTAACGTGGTACATCTTGCGGTTATTGCTGACAGGATGCGTATGCTCAAAGCACGTCTTACTCACAAACCAGCGATTCTCCACGTCCTTCAAATCCATCTTTAGGTGGATGAAGGCTGTACACCCAATCTTACCTGTCTTTCGGTTGGGTCTCCTGAATCCACCCTCATCATCATTGCCGTCTTCTATTTTTCACTTTCTTACTATAATTATAAGATCACTGAAGTCGAAAAATACATACTTTCTACACCTCTGGTGCTGCGATAATCTCCAAAGTGCTTGCATACAAGTTTGATATAGACTTTGTGTCAGGAGCGGGGCGGGGCAAGAGCAGAACAGAATGATTATTAAGGTGAGGGACAAGGCAACGAGAAATTATATATCTATTAGTATTAATAAATATATAAAAGGAATGTGGGTAGAAAAAGGTTTATTCAAAGAAACAGGAAAAATAGATAAGATCTTGAATACAGAAATAAGAATAAATAAACATGCTGTTATTTATATTAATTGACAGATCGGGTAAACAAGGGTTCGGGGATCAGATATACAGAGACATATTGAGTTTGGGACATCTTTGGGGTAGCGGGCATAGATACAGATAATTTCGGGGAAAGATGCAGAGGATAACATGGGCTGATATTATTAATGTTTTACAAGGGAGTTCAAAGGCAGAGGTACAAAGGAAACGGGTGTTAAATGGGTTTGACAAGGACAAGGGATAACGGAGATACATTATTTGGAACAGAGACGTTAGACAGGATACAATAGTGATGTTTGACAGTGACATGTGTGACAGGAGACAGAGAACAGGGAACAGGTGGAACAGGTGGAACAGGGACAATGGGCTAGTTGGGTTTCAATAATGATCTGAGACATTTTGCATGATAAACAACTGAAACCTAAGCGGTTCATGACACTTTGTCGCTTCTCAAAGTTTCGAATGGGATGTTTTGAGCCTTGCAAAACTCTTGAATTTCCGCTCTTGCAGAATTCTTATCGGCAAATGTCTTCTTATTTGGAAACTCTTTCTCGAAAGCCTCCTTCATACCAACAACAGCTTCACTGCTACCAACAGTCTCTTCGAAAGATGGGACTGGAAAATCAGTCTCATAGCTTCCTTCTTCATCAGCTTCTACTTCCTCTTCTTCAACATTACTGACCGTGTTCCAGTCAAACTCGTCCATAAGACCTGTTTTGACAGGAGCGTCTTTGCGTTCTTTCTTGCTAACATTGGTAGACATTTCTTCAAAGCCATCGTTAATGTTCTCCTCATCGTTATACTCGGAAAGAAGTGCTTGAATAAGCAGTTCAGTTTCGTTCAACATTTCTTCGGTCATTTCAGTCATTGTGAAATCGTGTTTAATAATAAAAAAAGAAAAAAACAAAAAACGGTGTCCGTAAAAAAAAACGGTGTCCCTGAAAATATTTTACAGTGAAAAAAAAAAAAAAAAAAAAAAAGTCCGGCCCGGAAAAAAAACGGTGTCCCTAATTATTTTTACACCAAAAAAAACGGTGTCCGTATAATTACCCAAAAAAAAAGTAAAATCAAAAATAAAATTTCGAAAAATTCATATTTAAGCGGCGATTCGGGTCTTTAACCAATTAAAAACCCGGCTTTTAAATTAAAAAGAAATTTAAACGTGTGCATGTCAAATAATAATTGTGTACCAAGCATTTTTCAAATACAACCACTGCATGTTTGTTTAAATTACATTTAGTTAATATGCACAAATACTTGCACATATCCCGGTATAGCCAATGACTTTTTTTCACGTGAAAATCAGGTGATGGTCATGTGAATATCATGTGAATGTCACGTGTCTCTCTCACGTGCATGCCTTTTGAATTTCTAAGAATTCTACAAGAATTTCATATGAATTCTACAAAAATTCCATAAGAATTTCAAGTGAATTTCAGGCTTTCTTTCGCTTAAAGAATTTTTACAAAAGGTATTTGCATCCAAATCTTTATCCCATCCATCCGTCATCAAAAATCGTTCAATCCGTTCAAATTTTTGTTGTATTCGACGCGTCTCAATCAGCTCTATCTTTTTCAATTACTACGCTTTCACCAATCTCTTCGATCTCGCCTTCAATTTCGACATTTAAGACATTTGTGAAAACATTCTCTCGTATTTGCACATATAAAATCGACATTCTTAATTTTTCCTCTGGATCATTTATCAATGTCAACTCAAGATCATGTTTCCTGGTCAACTGTGGCTTCTCGCGGTGCCTCCAAGAAAGTCCTGCGTCCACTTCCTGTCTCTGCCGAGACTGATTCTCAATTCAAGTTGAAAAGTAACACCCTTTTCCATCATCCTGAACTTGATTACCAGATTATGGTACGCCAAGCTGCTTCTATTGTCAAGCAAGCACTGACGCCTGGTTCTGTTTTGTTTTCGTTCCCCGCTTCACTTTTTAAGCATCGGACAGAAGCTTATGAACTCATTGAAGATCAATGTGGTGCTGTCCAGGGATTTCGTCCTATTAGCAATTATGGTACTCGCTCTGCTGGTGAATTCATGGTTGAAGTTAAGTTTGTAATGCCAACAAGCACTACAAAGGCAATCACTCACGGTGTTAGTTACAAGAATTTGTTGTTTAAAGGCTCTCCTTCTGTTCCTAGTGGCAACAATACACTTGTGCATGTCCAGATGACTCTTTTGCGAATTCCGGACAAGGATACGTTTCTGGCGGACCTCAAAAGATCTCTGCGTTATTACGGTGAAGTGTACCAGGTGAAAGAGTACACTTGCGGTGGGTATTTTGAAGGTGAGCTGTCGGTTATCCTTGATATCTCGGCTGGCTATATAGATGTTTCTGGTGACAAGGTCAAGAATGAGCCACTTACAAATAATTTGTACTTGGAGGAATGGGACTGTTTTGCTTCGGCAACATTTAAAGGTGCACCCACGGTTTGTCACTGGTGTCGTTTGGCTGGACACGCACGGTCCAAATGCCCGGATTTGGCTAAAACCAAATGTTTCTCGTGTCATGGTAGTGGACATACCGCCAAGTTTTGTAAGAAGAAAAATCTTGGTGTTACAGAACTGCCTGTTATGGATGAGATCTCAACTGATCTTCCCTCCCCCACCGTTGAGAGCCTCCACGCTCAAGTCCTGTCTGACTCGGACACAGATATTTCTGACGTGTCTACGTCCCCCAAGGTTGAACCAAGTGGCTCTGCAGCTTCTAAGTTTGCAACCACTGTTGCGAGTGTATCCATGGAGGTTGACAATCACGTCAATACTACCACTCCTGCTTCTTCGACGGCTGGTCCGATGGTCGAAGTTACTAGTGGCGCTATAAAAGTTGCTGGTGCCAAGCGCTCGGTTTTAGGTAAGCATTCTGTCCCGAAATCAGGCGTTAAAGGTCCGCTTCCCAAATTGGTGGTTCGCACACCATCCAATTTAAAAGGTCATAATTTGTTCACGAAGACAAAGGTTGTTAAAAAATAATTTTTTTAATTTTCCCTTTCGATTTCTATAATTTTTTCATTGCTAAATAAACTCACTGTTAATACAAAAAAAAAAAAAAAAAAAAAAAATTTCAAGTGAATTTCCTGTAAATTGAAATTAATTGAATGTTTCTAATATATGACATGAATCTGGTGATTTATGTTTATATTGCTTTTAGATGTTCTTATCCAGAGTAATAATTATGTGTCGAAACTTTGATGTCAGTTGTTTACTCACCGATGTTGTAATACGTCCGCAACCGTTATGACTAACGATCCTTTACCGTGACATTCAGAATTTAATAACAAGATAAATCAATTACTGTAAAGATAAACCATTATGTCTCTTGATAAACATTAGAGACTTTAGGGGATTAATTTACACTATACTAGAAAGTAAATTATACTGTTTTTTTTTTTTTGTATGAACTGTAAGTTTATTAAATTATGTACAAATTATAAATTAGCCCGAAGGCGTGACTAAACTAATCTTTGGAACTGTTGACTTTGCCAAGGTCGAAGCAATAAGAACAGAATGGTCTTGTTGAAACATGTTTAAGGCCTCGTGAGAGCTCCATAGGCCGTCTTCCATAACACACTTTCAATGATATTTCCAAACTGTACTAAAAGCTGAGCCTAATGGAACGAAAATATCAGGCTTTAGAAGTTTGGATTTAATAGAACAAAGAGAGACCATGCCAGATCAGACGTCGTATTCGTTTTGAAAGTCGTCACCTATTTCAAGAAGCGATATGACGTTGCTCCAAAATTGCCATTTATCAAAATAGCCGACCACAAACTGAAAAAGATCTTCTAAGGAAGACACTAGACATATAGGTCAGGTAGCACTAGGAAACTTCCGAGGAGACCGTCTATGTAGCTTAGCGCGATATCCAATACAGTCTTGTAGTTACCGCCACCAAGGTGTAAAAGCCTTACTGGTCAAATTAAGAGTCCAGAAACGACGCCACAAAACAGGTCTCAGCAAACATCGTGTTGGTACAATCTCCGGGACCTTAGGAGGATAATCAAACTTGGAACGATCCTGATGCCAAAACCACCGAAGCTCACGTGGGAGGGTACCAGCGACAGTACTAAAGTTCCAGGGACCATTTGGCACACACCATTTGGAGAGGTCAGGTAACCAACTAGGCGTTAGAAGATCACGCTGGGCCTGAGGAAGTATGGCATTGGGCAAAAAGCCTGTCGCAGCAAAGCAACCTTCAAGGGGGAACAAGGCCCGAATAGTCTCACGGACCTTTGTCTTGGTAGACACGTGATTATAAACCAGACTACCTTCTTCTTGATCCGAAGAGTAGATATCAGATATCAGATACCGAAGTGGAATACTTGACGGAACTAAGGTGGGAGCCCGACCATTGACGGCCGCGGATACAGAAATAGCACATTGCAGTAGAAGATCCAAGTACCAACGGGAGCACCAAGTAGAAGAGAGTTTCAGTGTAGGTAATTTTGCCAGTAAACCATAAAGATGAGTCATAGATGGAATAGGTTGTAGACTTGACGTAAACTTGGCGGGAAAGATGAACCATGGTAAAATGGAGGAGTGACCAGAGTATATTTGGAAGCATCGAACTATCCAGGGAGACACAATGTCGGTTGGAGTGGGACCAGACACCAAACGTTGCACATACATGTGATGAAGACTAAAGCTTTGATCATGAATGTCAACAAGGCCAACACCACCAAACTTACGAGGTAAGGTCAGAGTTGACATTGCAGGCCTAGGCCAGAAAGGTAAGAGGTAGCCACGAACAATTGACTTAACCGAGCCTAGCCACTTAGTTGGTATAGGAACCACTCGAAGAACATGCCAGAGACGACTAAGAAGCAAAGAATTAGCTATCAGGCCAGAACCACGCAAAGAGAGGGGCCGACCACGAAGCATTTGTGTGTGCCGAAGTATCTTGACCCGAATATCTTCCAAAAATGATTCCAACTGACTCGTTGTATGATATAGAGGATAGCCTAAATACTGGACAGAACCCACAGAAGAGGAATCATGCCATTCGACTTTGGCGGAATTAGTGATGTTTTTCCAACAAGCCTGCCGAACACCCGACAAAGATAGGACGACAGTTTTGTCAAGATTAACCTTGGCATTAGAAGCAGAGCCATAAGACTGAAGAAGATCCAACAGGATATCCCATTCACCGGGACCAGAAAGGAAAACCTCTAAGTCATCAACATAACTCAAAAGCTTAAGCCGGGGAGGTGGATTTAACACGGATTGGCTAATAAAATCACGATCGGAGGATGAAGGAGTATCCAGCCATACCGGACGCACCAAAGGAGATGAACTCGACCCAGCTATAGCACTACGCAGAGAAACACCAGAAAGATCAGCACAACACAAAATTGACCTAAGGAGAGGTTCAAAGGCCAAGTTAAACAAGAGCGGCGAAAGAGGGTTACCTTGTCGAAGACCACGTCACTGGCAAATAGGCACACCTAACCAGCCATTAATTGATATAGATATCTCAGTACCAAAGAACAGAGTATCAAGACAATCTACCAATGTCAAAAGAAGACCAAACCGAAGAAGAACCTTGCGGAGATAATCCGGATGGACCCTATCATAAGCTTTTTCTTGATCTAGTTAAACTGAGACTTGTGGAAGATCAGGATCTACGTTACGAGCATTAGCCATAAAAGTTTGGTTTAGCCAGCCATTGTCAGAGATTAACCGATTTGGCATAAAACCAGTTTGATATGGATTGATTAGTTGAGGCAGGACCACATTAAGACGATTGGCCAGAAGTTTCGTAAACAGTTTAGCATCGCTGTTGATTAGAGACAAAGGCCGCCAGTTTTTCAGCATCATTGGATCACCTTTCCTATAGAGCAGAACCATACGAGTCTGTTGCCAAGAGATTGGATACACACCTATGAGTGCATCATTCAGAATTCCTAATAGCATGGTACGAAAGTCAGCCGAAGTTTTGAACAGGTACTTGTACACCTCAAACGGAAGACCATCTAAGCCAGGACTTCTACCAAGGGAAGTGTGACTGACCAGATATTGAAGAGTGTCCATAAGAATAGGTTCCACAAAAGATTCAGAATCATCAGGGGATAACACCACATCATCAGGGATACTAGCCAAGAGAGAGTCAACAGCTGCATCGTCAATTAAATTGGGTGTGTATAGCGCGTGGTAAAAACCTCTTGCCTCCCGAATAATATCATCTGCTTTCCCTAGGACCAAGTCAGTAGCGGAACACTTCAAAGACTGTATAGTTTGCTTAAACTGGCGCTCCTTGATAACCCGGTAGAAATATTTGTTGTTCCGTTCACCTAGCTCGTGCCAGCGAGTGGCAGACCGAAGCATGCATTCACGCGTTTCTTTCCGAATCCGACTATCAATAAGCTGGTCAAGTTCATCAAGTTTGATAGTATTATCTACGTTACTGGGAGAGCCGTTATCGCCGGTGACATTGGCTAACATAAGAGTACGCTCATGTGGTAACGACGCGACCTTGTTCTTGAAGCGACGTTTAGAACCACGAGTATAGTTTTGAGCACGACATTTAAGTGACGACTTAAGAGATTCCCAGATATCCTGAACAGTGACCGGTCTATCGTCATGACTGACACCCGGATTATCAACACATAAGACAGAGTCATGAAAGACTGCCACAATTTTGTCTTGTAACACCAAGAAGTCAGCATCATCCAATAAAGTTGGGTTAAAACGCCAGCAACCGGGACCAATATGAACACGGGAAGGAACAAGATCGATTGAGAGTAGACAATGATCAGAGTAAGCCGAAGGGACTTTTCGATTCATACCGTTCAGTAGTAGCGGAAAGCTTTCTTTCGCTTTTATCCATCCGTTATCAGGTACTTTCCCTTAAAGAATTTTTACAAAAGGTATTTGCATCCATACTCTTGTTTCAACAATATCTCGGTGAATTCGATACATCCATCAGAAATTGTTCTTGCATTCGATTCCTCTCTATCGGTTCTATTTATTTTTATTTATTACGCTCCCCTCCATCTCTTCGATCTCACCGTTTATCGCGACATTTAACCAATCCGGCAAATATTTCAACATTCTCATTTCTCAATCTCCAATTTTAATTTTCTTTCTGGATTATTAAACAATAGCAGAAAAACTTCACAATTCTTAGTCAACAATCGCGTCCCGTTATTCGTCCTTTATCTGTCCCTAACAATGTGGTCTCCCGATTCAAGTTACAAAGTAAGGTAATCTACCAAAGTGAAGACCTTGAGTGCCTCATCAGAATGCAGAAGGCTACCGAAATAGTGAAACAGGCCTTGACACCTGACTCCGCTCTTTTCTCCATTTCTGCTTCGTTAATCCAACATCGTACCGAAGCATATAAGCTTATTGAAACGCAGTGTGGTCCTGTCCATGATTTCCGCCCAATCAGTAATTATGGTTCGAGCTTAGATCGTGATCGTTTG